AATCGTGCACTGGTCCCATCTCCTGAGCTCATTTATTAGTGAAAAAAACATATCATATCCATCGAGATATCTAGTCCGAATTTCGAAACTTTCTGATTGTTCTGGTGGTAATCGAGTAGTCAATAGCCATCATACATATATTAAAGGCTTGTAAGAACCATGGTTCGGACTTACAGCAGTCGTTTAGCTTTCTATACATATATCCTAAGAGAATAAAGGCTCACTGTTCCCATTCTTTTACTTACTTTAATGTCAATGAAGATGCTTATCATCATAAAGAACGTAATACATTTCTCAATAATTGATGATGGTAGATTCTCTTGGTATTGTGCCTTGCCAGTGTTAAAACTTATTAGTCGACTGGAATAATTTTGATTGGTCTAAAAAAACACAACTACAAAATTATGGCTCTCCTTGATCAGCCATTTTGAAAATTCTAGGTTTGCATTAAAACAAATCTATGTCGTAACTTTGAAACCAATGATTTTACATGAAGTCTTTACATCGTTTGATTTTGTTGCATTTAGGAACGTTATTCTTTGATTGTTTAGGCTGAGATATATATTTGTCGAGAAGTTGATAATCCGAGTCATTCTGCTTCTCGTTGACAGTGGCGTAGATCAACTACGGCAAACTTTCTTACTACTGTTGTTGTCGATTGGAAGGGCTTGAAAATCCTTAATTTGTTTTAAGGATATATAAGCACTCAGTTGCCATCAAACTATCCGTTTAATGTCAGTGCAGGCAAGACTCATCGATGTAAAAATCCGTTTCATCCGCGCTTAATTGTTGCATTCGAACCTAATCGGTAAATACAGAATGTTTCGGACTATCAACATGCATGCTCACACTGAGCCGTGTGCCAAGAAAGTTTTTATATAGGACGTGTTAAAGGCACGAGGGTCAAGATAGACTATTTGTCTACAGATCACTAAAAGAAAGTGTTCATCCCGTCTTTATCCATCATGTCTTTGATGATAACACTATGTGTAATCAAAAAAGTGTTAAATCAAACACTGTGTTGGTCAGTTGGTATATAGTTACACACACGTATCATCACACTCTTATACCCTGCTTATATAAGATATAGCCATAATAATCATTAGATAAATTTAACTACGTGACATGGTGCTTTCATTGGTAGATTCTGTTACAAATTGGTCAGATATGGTCAGTTTGAATACAGAAAATTGTAATGTTACAATGTGCAATCTGCTAGTCGACTGGACACCATATTGCGTATGACTGATCATTTGTGCTGCTGAAGGTATCTGTCATTCCAAGACAGTGTTACCCTGAACGTTTTGATCTATACACTTTGTACTGCTACTAAATTTTGATGCAAGATAGCTCAATATATTCCCATTCTGTTGCCAAGATCTTAACATGGTTACCCTGAATGTTACAATCTTCACTTTGTATTTCTACTAAATTCTAATGCGAGATAGCTCAATATATTTTCTTTCTGTGTCCAAAATCTTAATATGAACATAAGAAATTAAAACTACTTTACTATTCTTGATTTAGCTAATGAAGATGGACAAAGAGATCGGAGGTCGCTTTTCGAGTAAACCTTGCATACGAGTATCTGAAGATCAGACCCCGTCAAATCCGACTTTCAGAAACATCGTTGTGTTTGTTCATTCTGTTTAAATTTGTACCCTGAAAACGTATGACCAAAGCCAGTACACTTGCCGACTGATGTAAAATCTATTATTTAAGTGTAATCTAAATTCTCACCAAGGCACGCCTTTTTCACAATTTAAACTGTCACCAGATTGAATAAAGGTCAATTCATGCTAAGTAAATGTTACCAGATACTTACGTATGCCTACACAGTAACCTTTTCAAGACTTTTAAGCCTAATTTCAGGTGTACCCCCTAATAACCTTGTCTGGAGTTGCATCTTAAAGAGATGTGGTAGCTTAATATTTTGGCAGCGAACTTTCTTTTCCCACCAGGTAGAAGATTGTGCCTGACACAATGGCTATTGTTGGAATGACCTACAGGCCAAATGAGATAATTTACAGCTTTTTGAAGCACTATCTTCAAATGAAATACCGATACCCAGTTCGTACACAATTCAATAAAACGTGCAGGTGGACACAATGTGAATCTCATATTGGATTGTTTATAGGACTATTGCGTTGCACATCAGTTTCTATTTCTGGTTGTATACAGGAATTCTAGTTCTATACAGTCAAAATTGGGCAAGCTGGCACATCTGCATATGTCCAGATCGGCTCGTTACCTTGTAATCCTTTTTAAACAGACCAACTGCAATGCCTTGTACCGAGAAAGAATGTATTGGTCAATGCTGGTACTGACCACTGTCACCCTACAGCGTGACCACTCAATTTGTTTAACTCCAGGCAGTTCATTTATCAACCAATACCCAACATGATTCTAAAAATATAACCTAAACAGTCTTCAGTCTGTGACGATTGTATAAATAAGAAGGTAAAACAAACTGAATGTTAGTCTATTTACCTGAAAACCTACTGTCATGAAACTGTGAAAAAAAAACTTGGTTAGATTAACAATTTACTAACGTGAGTAATCATTTCACTCTTTAACTATACCAGTCTAATGTCTTATTCATATTACAGCTCACTTGTGTGTGAAATTTGGAGGCAATTGCATTTATTGTAGTGCTTTTTATGATTGTTAAATCATGTTTGTGTGAATTGTTATGTAACTATTACCAGCTCATATTGAAAATTATGGATGCATGCAGCAAGGTTACCATATGTTTCCTAGCGTTTTCATTGCTCTAGTGTATAAACCAAAGATAATCTGAACGATTGTGGACTATAGCAGACTAGTGTGAATTACAGACACAAATTTCTTTGCGGCCTTGAGCAAGGTGACATATTTCCGTTTCGTACGATACAATCTTAACATATGTTTTTATGTCTGTTCGCCAATTTGACAACACTTTTCTACTTATCAATATTGCCTGCAGCGACTTGTACACGATATACAGGTTTGATTGGTGATGTATTTGTCCTTATTGGAGAACTTGATTAAAACACCTCCGTATAAATCTATACAAGGGGTTACATTCTCAAATCTGACAATTTATCAATAAGGCCTGCAGCAAGGGTGATGCATGTCACCTATAGTTTTGATGTAATATTTACATGTATTTGAGTTATATCATTATTTTGACTAACGGGGTAGCTGTCATTTTGTTAAGAATATGTTAAATACTATTCTTGTGGATAATTTCAAGAAGTCCTATCTATCATGTTTAAACGACTCAAAGGTTGGTTTTGTTTTATGTTTCGTATCTAAACAATATATTTTGCATTCAAGAACTACTTCAGAAGAACAATGTATCCACTGTATAATATTTTGCTTTTCAAGCTATACCCACATAGTTTAATGTTGCAAGCGATATTTTTAGCATTATCTAGTCTTTAAACACTCTATCTGGAGCGGAAAACTTTTGTTTCAATGACTTACTGTGCAAGATAATGGTAAGGTTTCTATTAGTATGTCATTTAGATAATTTAGTTTATCATATGTTTTAATATGTTTACTCAGACCAAATTGAATGTTTGTGTTCTAAACTGTATGTGTATTACTGGTTCTGAACCTTGAACATCTCAGTTTTCAGCCTCAGCTTCATGCATTGCATTGGCTGGTGTCGTTCGCTGGTGTGATCACCTTTCTGAATATGGTACTGCAATTTCTGATAACTCCAATACTGTTTATTTTCTGTGGTTTCTTATGCTTACAATTTGTTGCGCGAAGGTTAAATATATGGAAAATACCAGTTTGAAACTAGCTTGAATACCTTTAGGGTATCATTTCTATAATATTTGTTCAAGGAACAATAGTACGTTATGTTCAAAAGTCAAACCGTCATTTAGCTTCAAGACTTTTAAAATATATTTACTCTTCATTAAATAGATGTGATCTTTTCTATCTGCTCTATTTACTTTACTATAACTAACTATAATAAATTATTATCAATGTGAACCCAACCCACCACTTTAAACAGACTTGAAATGATTGGTAATCTTTGTTTTGTTAAAGTAAGTGTGTCAAGATAGGTCAATTTCAACCCGACAGTAGTTAATCTTTGATGTTTTAGAAAGCACCTTATTAAAGGGACAGAATCTCTATTTTTTTACCAATCCTAGTCTCAGAAACGAATTCTTTTTTTAGCAAAGCTAATTAGTAATAGTGTTCACAGTTAACATTTGGGCCTTCAAATCCATGTGCAGAATTTTCCACATTTGAAAGTTAAAAAGACGACTCGTCTTTTAAAGAGACCCTGCTATATATAGAAAAGACATGTAGAAAAAGACTTTAGGTGAACTAACTAGTTTGAAGTGTTTTTGAAGGAATTTTGCGATTTTTGTGATTTTTGTGAATTTATATTACTTCTGAAGACTAATTACATATATTCAAGACCTAAACCAAACTTCGAAAATTGCGAATCTGTGTTTATAACTCCTAGTCAAAACTAGGGATCTAGGACTTACAGCTTCACTTTCTTATAATTACAGAAACCCACCTGTTATTCTGATCTCTGCTGTATATGTGTGGGCAGAGGTGGGCCATATTCTATTGGGATATAAAAGGAAAGGACTTTTTCGCCACCTTCTCTGCTCTGGATTTGGCTCTTGAGACCTCCAATGCTACGCAGAAATTTGGCAGTAAAGCTCTTTTCCGAATTTTTTAGAGGAATCTCTAACAAGCGCAAGAGGTACTACAAGAGGAGTCGGTTTATGAATTTTCCATTAACTCCTTTCATCTCATCATGGAAGCTTGGTCTTTTTCGTAGGTAGTTTCTTAACCTGTTAGGATTAAACTCCGGATGACCAGGTTAACGAACCTTGTATCTCTTCGTGAGAACTTCAAGTGAAAACCCAATACTAAATTGTGCAAAATGTTGTTTTATTGAACATATCAATTAAGTTGTAAACATTAAAGGCAAATAATTTCCAATCGAAAAAAAGGTTAATGTGTAAAGAAGTAGTATAAACATGTCTATCAGTAAATTTACTCAATGTAAAGATTTTCTTCCAATTGCCATCTTTTTCGTCTCGCGTACACCTTTGACCATATTTGGTAAGATCATGACGCCTCTAGAATAAACACAAACCGTACGGGGAGTGATATTTAGAGTCGACATTACTGGTCAAGTTACGAAAATGTAGCAATTTTTTTCACCCTTCAAACAATCCTACAAACACTCCACAGCATTATCAAGATGTTGCTATTTGCATAAAACAACTTAATTAGGTTTGCAATGGCTCGATATGGTAGACGTATGCTCTTCTTCTGTGTTGCAAAGTCTTAAATGGCAATGTCGTCTGCAACAATTTCCGCCATTTTTTTATAATCTTGTGAAAAATGATTTGATTGGAGTAGAAAGTGAAAAGCTTTAGTTTTGATCTTTACTTAGTTAATATTTAGTTTGATATATTTGATTAAGGCTGTGGGTTTGCAGTATTCATTTTAACCGTAATTCATCAAAAGGACTAGATTTTCTTATGAATTGTTAAGGAATGAATTTGTTTCCTTTATTGGGTAACGATCCTATTCAGCATTTAAAACCTCACATAGAAAATGGTAGGTTTTGATTTTTGTTGAGTTGAAAAGACATGTGTACGTGAATATTATGACGAAAGTTAAAAACAAGAAGTAAAACGTTCAATGATACAAGTAAAGGTTTGTGATATCAAAAGACCACATTTAGAGGATATAGCCGTCTAAGTATTAACTTTTCAGCTGACACATGCTCAGCTATCCGTATAACTTTTCGGAATGATTATACGATGCCAGGTACACGCTGATGGAAGTGACGACAATACACAATCTATATTTACCGTTGCGTGTATTTTATACGGTTGAAGTCAATATGTCGGAATATCTACAACGAAATCTGCTGCCTAGATTGAAAATGAGTAGTCCTGAGCTTAATGATATTTTTATACGCCACGCCAAAGTTTACAGGTTCGACAGATAATGCTTCTAATGTTTTACGATTTGTGTACTGTACTGGTACCCCATGTTTAAGTTGCTTCTGTCTCTTGTGGAATCTTGAATTTAAAATGTCGTTTTCATTTATCGTTCCAGGTTGGTTCGAAGTCGTTCCAGAAGATGGTCGTCCTGTAGAATATTTTGATACAGTCGGTGGTATAACTAGTGTCAAACCTAAACGATTTCTAGTCAGAACTTCTACTGTAGGATATCAACTTAGTGTAGAGGATGGCGTCAGCTGTTGGATGCCATGTGAAATTCGATCAGGTGAAGTGCTCACTACTGGTATGGTGTACATGGACAATAAGAAAAGCAAGTCTCATTCACATATGCGTAATCTCTTTAAAAAGCTTTTGAAATCCAGCAAAAATTCTAAAAAAGAACAGGATTTAAAGTATCTCCAATGTTTTGACAGTACTGGTAAAGAAATCATGATCCCTTTGATAATGTCTGGAGTGTTTAGTCCAGTTGGTGAGTCCAATAGTGCCAATTATGATGCCGTCTATGAACTTCAGGATCTAATCATGGCGTTCGGTCTACCAGTAAGTGCTCAACTTGTACATTCATTAAACAAAGAAGACTCGTCATGCCCTCATGGTGTTCTGCGCTTAGAAGATAGTCGGGAAGAAGAATTTGCATACATCGAATCTGTGCCTTCAGGTGGTGCCAAAACTCTTAGTGGCGAGATTCCTTTAGATAGTGAGTGTCGGTTCACTAGAGAGCTCAAACGGCATCCCAGAAAGAAAAGAGAGAAATCCGAACCAAGGCTACCCGCTGAAAAAAATCAGGAAAAGACTCACGACCGAGAAAAGCCTCAAGAAAAAAATTCAATACTTCAGAAGCAGCAATCAGAAATAATCTATTCAAGCACTTCCGTTGAACTTCCAGAGCGCGTTGAAAGAGAATTGAAAAAATCCAAAAGTGTCTCTTTGTTGGATAAGTTAAGTGTCCGTAGAACCAAAAAAGAACGAGCTAAACTGAAAGCATTACGCGAGGACGATGTGTTTTCTAAAAGACTCAGTCGCGGTGAAATCAGTTACGAGGATTTTTATAACGGATTAAGTGATGAGGAAAAAGACGAATCGTCTTTGAGTAAAACTGCTAAAAGTTCTGACAATGATTCTGAAACATATAATAAATCCAAGCATTCCGATACATCGAGTGTTTCTAGTCCTTATGGAGTAGTTCCTCCGCCTAGTATTCAAAACCGTGATTTACCACCCATTCCCATAGAAAGCTCATCTTTTAATGCTGGTGTCCGAAGAGACTCTAAAGAATCACTGTATGAACGTTTACCAGCAGCTCCCCTACCTCCAAATGGCGTGAATAAGTTTGACCACGACGAGGACGATGGTGGTTATATGATTCCCAAAGCACTGCGCCAGGAATTTGATTCGCCTTATCACATGCGAAATGGTGGTGATAGATCTTCAAATACTCGCCGCGGTTCTTCGCCATACGTTGGCTCTCCTAATGCAGAACAGTACCACGCTGGATGTGGTAAAACTGGTGATCACGAGTGTCCTATTGATATAGACAATTTATTTAGTTTTGCCTACAGTCAAGACCCCTCCGCCAAACCTTACGGAACTTTAGGGACCACGCATTACCGGAGCACTTCACAATTGTATGCATCAACACCGGGCAGTCGCAGACCATGGGTTCATAATGGATCGGAGTCTAATGTGAGGTTTATGGACACTTTGGATCTTCAAACTGCAGGAAAGAATCATAATATAAGATACAAGCAGCGATCACAGAAAGGCGTTAACAGTGATCCAAACGCTACAATTCGAAGCCATAATTTACGGAAACATAAAAATGCTATGGAAGTCTTTCATTTTACGGATTCCTTTCGTGATTTGCGACATGGTGGTGGAGCTGATACCTCCTCGCCTTACGGAGAAGTGCCTAATCCAGTGTTTTATATTGGAAATGATACTGGAATTTACCCTGAAAGTGAACCGGGATATAGAGCCAGATACCAGAGATCAATTTCTACTGGAGGAATCGGTGAATCGTTCATCAAACAAGGTGACGATTCAGCTATATCATTATGTTCACGTGGTGATTATGGATATCACCGCGGTGATAGTGATTACAGTTACGGTGAATATGGTGATAGTCGAGATGATGGGTGGAGTCCACCAGATGAAATAGAACCACTCACTGTTCAGGAGGTATCCAAATCTCTCCGATACATTGGAATGAAAGATAGGGTAGTGTTACGTTTTGCTAACGAACAAATAGACGGGGAAATGCTATCTTCTTTGGATAAGAAACTCATTAAAGAGGGATTTCCTGAACTCAATGCATTAGAAATCAAAAAGATCTTAGACTTTGTTCGAGGTTGGCGACCTAAGAAAAGATGATGATGACATCATTTAGATGTGATTTTGAGTTAAATTTTGCATTTGACATTTAATGGGATTTTGTTGACGTAAAGATACAATTAAAAAACAACACACTTTTAGACGTCCATATACCTTGAATCTAAAGTTTACATTTGATACATTTATGATTAAACTTCATGACATATTTATGACTATGTAGATGTATGCAATATTGCAATATATTTCGCCTATTTTCCCATCAAATTAAAGTACAAATCGAGATATTCTGTATGCTTTCTCCGATATTCATTATTGACCGACTTACAACCGTGTTACATAGGCTACGTAGATTTTTCAAAAATCCTCTTATTAGATTCAACATTCTTAATGTGATAGACTCTTTAATTCTCAATGTTATACATAATATTTTGATATATTTATAAATGGCAGTGTATTAAAGGATGTGTAAAGCGTAATTTAATATTATACCAGCTGATCAGCCCTGGTTTAATCTTTCAAAATACAGAAAGGCACTGTTTCTTAAAGATGTATAGTCGTTTAAATATTTTTTTCACTTGATGAGTTTTGCTCCAGCAAGTGAAAAAGAATATATTAAGAAGGCCATGTCCCTTTAATGTCAAGGAATCATGAGGTTTCATAATAAAGGTAAATCACCTCTAAGAATGACAAAAATGAACTTTTTTAATTTGGATAAAATGAGTCTTTGTGGACTTACCTGTACGACAGAACCCCTCTTTATTGCAATAAATTCATAAAGCTAAGTAATAATTTTGAAACATGCTTAGAAGCGTATTTCAACAATTACTTAGTGAATATGTCTTCTTATATAGAGATTCTATTCTTTAGTCATGGTACCTGGTAAGTCCAACTGATGAATATAATATACACTTATTGACCAAGTTTCAGTATTTAAATTTTAAGCAGTATAGTGATGTTATTAAAAGCGACACATACTGTTCAAAGTATACATAAAATCCACAAACGTATGAAAAAGAAAAAATACATGTATGCACTATACAGGTTGTTCAACAGATTAAAATTACGCTTTACATTTACTTTAATATGCATTCAATCGTGTATAACGATCTTTGTGTTTGAATAAAACGTTTTCTATTCTTATTATGATTTCATGAATCATTGGCGAAATCCGCAAACCCATTCAGCATTATGTTTGATAGGGTTAACCCACGCATTTAGAACTAGAATATCTCATGCATGTAGGGCCCTGGCTTTAAAACAGACTCTTTCTAACGAAAAGGGTACATACAAATACTCCATGCCACTGACATGTCGAGGGCCTTAGATATAAGACTAATTATTTGTTTAATAAAAAACATTTGTTTGAATATCATTAAGATATAATGTCAAACGGAGACTTCACTGCGATACCTCTCTAAAGATGCTAGGTCGGTCGTTCACTTCACCCCAAGTTCACAAAATACGTCAACCCTATACCATTCGGAAATGTTGCTACTGTTGTGATCCAAATTAGTCAGTATGCATTGGAAGTAAGTTCAGAGTCGAGATTTTTGCGGTTATCCCGCCACTGCCTGGATAGTGTGAGAAAGAGTGCAGAGTTGATAGCCATGAAAATGCGGAAGCTGTCTTAGACCAGGAATTGAACTCACTATCTCGATCCAATAAGAGACTTACTAGAATTTTTCAAACCTAATCGAGCTACCAGACATCACTCTTGTGCTGAAGAAATTGGACCAAATAGCAATGTGAACTATACGAATGAAATGAATAGCGTTATTTCTTTAGATCTCAGAGAAAGGTGGCCATAAGTACGTACACAGACTACAAAACAAGGCCTGACACACGAAAACCAGTAACAATATTCCGTTAAGATATAAACACAATTAGACTATAGTTTGACGTCGTGTGTCAACAACTTACTTCAATCTCTTTTTGACTCATTGTAAGAAGTGGCCTGTCTTCTTTTGTTTGTTCGTGGATTAAAAACATAATCACCATGGCTAAAGGTTTCTTCTCATTCTATGCAGAAGACTATTTTCCTATTTACATCTTAGTCTCCGATTGAAAATTTATTAACTAGCTATAGTAAGGTGACGTTACCACGTCGGAATAAGATAGATTGGACAAAATGGAATTAGACGAGCCAGACAAGTTGGCATTAGATGAGCCAGACAATTCGAATTAGATTGGTTGGAATTAGATTGGTCAAACAAGCTTGAATTAGATGGGTCAAACAAGCTTGAATTAGATGGGTCAAACTATCTGGAATTAGATTGGTCAGACAAATTGGAATTAGATTGGTCAGACAAATTGGAATAAGATGAGCCAGACAAGTTGGAATTGGATGAGTCAGACAAGTTGGAATTGGATGAGTCAGACAAGTTGGAATTGGATGAGTCAGACAAGTTGGAATTGGATGAGTCAGACAAATTGGATTTCGGGGAAGGGAAGGTTTGATTCTCCCAAATGTACAGGCCTGGGGTGGAGCAGACACTTTATTTAGAAATTAGGATTAAGGGTCTTGATATTGGGTTTTCTTCTGTTCTTATTCTGATCTGAAATTAGAAAAAGTAACTCGCCCAATGGGCGAGAAGTATAGTATCTGTTATGTACTGATTGTTTTTAGTTTACTATGAACAATATTATCATTTAAGTTCTTATTTTTTGAATATGCAACTATCATTTTCTGCTTATAGACATGGGGGAAATTCTCTTGAAGGCTCTTATAGTGGGCATGAACTATCTTGCTTGCTCGATTGCTGGTTGTATTAAACGGGACAACAAAGGGTGCTATGCCTACATTATGATGAATATTTAGTCCTATAGGTCTTGCTGTATTTAATGTCTCAATCCAATGGGCCTCCCTTAGATTGGTCAGACAAGTAAGAATTAGACAAGCCGGACAAGTTGGAAATGATGAGTCAAACAATATGGTATGAGTCAGACAAATTGGAATTAGATGGGTCAGACAAGTAATATTAGACGAGTCAGACAAGTTGGAATTGGAAGAGTCAGAAAAGATGGAATTAAATAGGCCAGACAAGTTGGAAGCTTTTCCTCCATTTTGAATTCACGTCCGACGTATGTACATCCGTAATTCCACAAAATCTAAATGGAATTTGCTTGATTGACTTGAACGAATGCTGAAATATTCTACTGGGACTGGGATATAACAAAAAGTAAATAACAATGACCATTGAATACCAAGAATATTTAATCAAGTGACGCAAGTACAGGATATATTGAAGTTATTTCACCCAAAACATGAAAAGATTTCTAATCCATTGAAGATGAGGGTTGAATTTATTACCTTTTGTCAACATTGACATTCCTTGGGGTACTAGAATGATATTGATCCTTAATTCTAATTCATCTTCGCACTTGTCGCCCCTTCCTTGTTTATGATTTCAATACTTGTTATTTTGTTGCTCTATCCGTGCTTTCAGTTCATATACTGGAAATAAATTGAAACGTTGCTCCTTTTCTTAAATATTTGAGTGGTTGGTAGATGCTCAAATAATCTGGAAACTGCCGGCACAGTTGTTTCCATTGTAGTGTTACTAGTTTGATCTTAGTTTGTAAATGATCTCTCCTGATCTCTCTCATGATTCAAACACTCAGTGCTCCTGGCTTTTCTCTAATAGAGAGCACTATTTCTAGCGCACGACCATGCCCGATCGTGTCAATGCTTTATACCATCATCACACTATCGCTATATCTGTTGTCTCATGGTGGGAAACAACACGGAAAGATATCCAGACATTCTTCAACACAACGTTTCCAAATTCTGGCAAAGATTCCAATCTTTTTCACCTCATATCGAACTTCTTTCTCTCGTAAAAGGTGGCTCATCTCACACATCTTATGCCATTTCTTTTTATCTGTTTGGCATTTATCAAGGTATAGAAGCCATCCATCTCGATCGCCTTCAACTTCACCCCGCTGAAGGCAATCGCCAGCAACGGCAGCTGCTCTCATGTAGGTTTCTCTAGCTTTGTTGACTTGTCTGTAGTACTCCACATTTTTCAGAAAATTCTCGGGTGTTATATAGTCTCTGATAATGATGGTGATGTCTTTATCATCATCAGTGGAATATAACAGTTGCTTATTGATGATAACCTTCTCGCCAGCTATCTCGTCCTCGTAATATTCCATTAAGGACACCTTGGCTGACTCATCCTTAACATATTTCTTTTTGGGAAATCCACTGGGTACTATATCTAAAATATTCTTTTTGTACGTAAGGACTTCTTTAACAGATTTGTCCGCCCATCGCAGACTCTTCTTTTTACTCTTTTCGTATGCACCATCAACGAGTTCGAAACGTGACTTATCTCCCGTAGTAGATCTCCTATTTTTGCCTTTTCTTTCTTTTTCTGTATCCATTTTGACGTCGTCTGCTGGCGCTATTTCATCATTTGATGATACAACAACTTGCTTTTTTGCTAGTTTTCCTGATATTTTGTGTTTGTGGTGTTGATTTTTTAGTTGTGTTAGAATTGTTATTGTCGTTTGGTGAAGAATTTCTCTGTTGAATGAATTTCGTTGATAAATTCGATCTGCCTCCGAGACGTCTCTTCACTATTTCTTTTGGACTTAACATCTAAAATAGATTTAAACAATGAATTAAATCAGTGAATAACATGTAATAACATTAAAGGAGGGTTATCCTCTATCACGGACTATCCAAGCCTGTTCGTTGAACAGCTGTGATAAAATTATTCCTAAGCTTTCTGACTCTCTCCCAGCCTTTGATAGATATTATTGACGGCTATTGACAAAATTTTTTTTGAATCCCTAATAACGTCTATGCTACATTTTGTTTGAATGGGTGCAAGTGACATCTGCTTTTCGTTTGCCTAGCAGCGTCAAACACAAAACCATTCGGCAATCTTTGGCACTTTCGTAAAGCTGAATGTTGCAGAGCTTTCGAGGAACTTTCACGGTAGGCCGTTCTGACGCAAAGCATAACGGGATTCTGCAAAGCAAGGCCGTATCGCAATCCAAGTTAAAATGGGACGAAAATAAGATTCTGTGTAAAGATTATAACATATTTTGCGCGAGATTACGACGAAGTTCTGGAGATTGAGATACAGTTCTCATACAGTTTTTCACAGATAGGAATTTGTGTATTCTGATAAAATAATAGTTTTTGTGAGTATTGTAAACACTACACATGTTGAAGATTAATAAAGAATCACGTCTGTTGAACTGTCGACAAGGTAAACAAATAAAACAATATTACAGAAAGTCGAAAGAAAACAGAAGATGATCTTGAGAATTATAAACAGATTTAATTAAAGGGATATATTTCTGTTTTGAATTGGGTCGTGGTAATTCGGTAAATTTCGTCATACCGCACTGTCACAGGGAAAACAGACCACAGTAATTAGACCGAAACATCTGACTCTATTCCAGCCTCTGATAGCTATTTTGAAAGTTGTCAGATGGTGTACTCCAGCCAATAACTGTCAAAATATATATCAGAAGCTGGAATAGAGGCAGTTGTTAAATTGGTCACAGTAACTTTTTCATAGGATAAATAGATCACAGTAATATGGTCACTGTAATGTGGTCACAGGGTATATAAGTCACAGTAATTTCTTCACATGGTAAATAGATCACAGTATTTTAGTCACTGTAATGTGGTCACAGAGTATATAAGTCACAGTAATTTCTTCACATGGTAAATATATCACAGTATTTTAGTCACTGTAATGTGGTCACAGAGTATATAAGTCACAGTAATTTCTTCACATGGTAAATAGATCGCAGTAATATAGTCACTGTAATGTGGTCACAGAGTATATAAGTCACAGTAATTTGGTCACATGGTAAATAGATCATAGTAATATGGTCACTGTATTGTTGTCACAGGGAATAATGGTCACAGTGATGTGGTCAGATGATAAATAAACCACAGTAATATGATCACTGTAACGTGGTCAAAGGGAATATAAGTCACAGTAATTTGTTCACATGGTAAATAGACCACAGTAATATGGCCATTGGTAATGTGGTCACAGGGTATATTAGTAACTGTAATTTGGTCACATGGTAAATAAGTCACTGTAATGTGTTCAGAAGGTAACATGGTCACAGGATAAAAAGAACACAGTATTATGGTCACTGAAAATTGATCAGACGGTAAATTGGCCACAGTAATTTCGTCACAGGGTATATTTTCCATAATTTTACGAAGTTATTAATCACAGTAATTCCCTTTTATTTATTTATTCTTTCAGTTTAGTCATTAATTGTCCAAATGGAATGATTTGAATCAACCACCTAACCGCACTATCGGGTCCAACCGGAAGTAGAGAATTGCGAAAAATTTGACATTTCTGGTGGCCTGTCTTTGAACAGTATGTTGTGTTTAAGCAATGAAGGGAAATAACTCAATAATTAATCCAGCTTAAAGTTTTCAAAATTCGACCCTTTGGACTGAGTATATCGATAATATATTATTAACATTATCAAATTCGTCTACTTGAAATTACTAAGATATTATTTTCTACTTTATCATTCTACAGTATGGGGAAAGGATAACTCTAACGACGATAACATTATAATGTTTTATCAAACCTTAAACCAGGTTTAACTAAATAGGTTTATTAACAAACTATTCTTTTTATTGTGTTATATGAACTATGGATGATACTACACTAAAAGTTGAAATACACGCCAATATTATGATACTCTATAGTGCCATCTTGATGTCAGGCAGTAGTGTATTTAGGCGGGGGGCAATTGAGCCATTACTTATCCCTCAGTCATGTGATGGATCTAATTTTGAATTGAAAATGAAGCCGTAAATGCTAGAAATTCACCCCAGGCGCATCTGACCTCTGGCCTCATGGTCTTTGGGCCTCGCCTCGGGGAGACCTCTCTGATTTTTGGCCTCCTGACATTTTCTGGATACGCCCTTAATGCCAGGCAAAAGGTTTTGTAAACAACTATCCAGAATGAACTACCTATTATCAAAAGCCCTATCATTAACTCTTGGCGATTTTGTGAAATGAAATGAAATAAAATGTGCTACTTTACTGTACCTTATTGGGCTAATGATGACGGGGAAACGTCCTTCAGTGTGCATATGTGTGTTATGTCTCAACCTAAACTCTGAAACTATGCCTATGGATTAGGGTCTAGGCCTACCTTTTATATTATGAAAAAATACAACTTCTTGAAGTCCTCGCTGTAATGAAAATGGCCAATTTAGTCTAGGACTACTTTCCAATCTTCAATTGCGTTGCTGTAGAGAGGTCTACGTTCTGCCAGCTTACCATGGTAGGCCTATTATCAGAACGTAACAATCGAAGGAATAAAAGATAACGTCATAGTAGCATTGTGCTTCAATGACGTTGAGCAAAAACGTAGGCTAGAGGAAACGTAAATGTCAAAGGTCAAAGATCAGGCTATGTGTTGCGTTAATCCAATTGGTCGATAAATAATTATCAACCGATCAGAAAAAGCCTGAAAAACAGAAAGGTTTGTATAAAAGGCCAGCTATTTAAAAAATCTTCAAGAATCTTATGTCGTCAAATTGACCTCAAACCCTTAACACATCATACATTGAGCAATCACCATGGTAACTGAATTTTAATGCAATAAATATGTGCGATTAAAAGAAATAAAAAAGAAAATGAAGCATATATTAATCATAATGTTTACAGTCCTGAAAATGTATCAGCATAGCTGGGATCAAAGTGCTAACCCATTAATACTTATATTAAATTGATTACACCTCTCACGCAACAAAATATTTAATATAACCCAGTTAGCTGATTTATTCTAATAGCTTTCACGAGGTTTGAAACTGATACTCATGTGATATAAAAATTAATCATGACTGAGCGCTTTATTCTTGAAATGTGTTAAGCAATTATAAAGCGTCAAGACAACCGAGACTATTTTTACGCCTCTTAAAGTGCCTCGTGACTGATCATGTGATATCATTTCCTCAAGATGGCGACTTCACGACGCACCGAAGTTTTGTTCTGCTTGCTTTTTGCAGGTAAATACACTTATTATTTTAAATTGACAACTTTTATGATTTGATGTAACAGTCATTTAAAATTTTGCTGAAATTATTATTACAGGCGCAAATGATTTTATGAAATGTCAGAAGTCAACAAAGCCAAGGAAATAGTTAGATGACTTTCAGCTTGGAAACCTTTTGCCGTATTATGTCATATAAAACATATGTAATTTTGCAGCCCTTAAAAATTTAGTAAAAGTGAATTCTCTTAGTTGGTTGAGCAGACTATAGATACTTTTTTGTCTTGTAGGTATTTGTTATGGAACAACAATTAAAGACTCTCCTCCCTCATTTCCACAAAGCTATGCAGTCTCTGGTGTTCTACAATTACCCTACGCTGAGATTAAAGAACCATTCACAGCTTTATATGATGGTCCTAACAAAAGAGGCAGGATAGATTACTATAATGGTTGGTATTACATCTTTGGAATATTATTGGCTACCATTAAAGGGATAGGTGTTCCCTTATTGGGGGGATTTTGATCTTGAAATGTACGGAAATCCCATCATTCCTTTAGAAATACTTCAAACTAGAAATCTTCCTGTAGAATATTTTCGGCCATTTTTTTAATTTTCTAGCATATATTTTCTTACAGAAAGTCAATTGATCTTCAGGTGGGCATATCTGAAAATGGTCCACCTCAATTGTAGGTGAACTATAAGTTATATTTCATTCTGACAAGAGATACAGATAGCTAAAACTGATCTAGATGATAAAAGATGGTATTGTGTATTGCTTTCTCTGTATTATATAAGATCATACGAGACATTGTTTCTCTAACATATCTAACAGATATGCTTTCTTACTGTAGGCATGGTGGTAAATTTATTAAGAGGTGATATGGGTGATTATGGTACCACACTAGAGTTGGCACCAATGTCTAATTACAAAGTTAAAAATCAGAGAATGTGTTTCAGAACTAATGGTACCAAAGGTGCTGCTGTTATGCCCCAATCAGTTCTTCCAGACCTCAGTGGTTTCCAGGTAGGTTGTGTAGGATCTGGGAGTGAAATTTGCAATAAATACTCATGTTGCAATGACTAATGATAATATCATATCCACATCCATATATTTTTTTTTCATATTGTCCCCCCATGGGATGAATGTTAGACAGGACCATGTTCTAGTGTATTGGGCCCAACTCTGACCCATGTAAAAAAAAAGAGATTATTATTATTAAACTCAGCCCTTTTTTTCCATGTAATACATTATCGCTTTTAAACCTCATCTGGCACATGCTGAAAAAGATCAGTTGTCTGAATATCACACAGTATGAAACTGTGTAGCAACATGTTTCAGTTTCTGTAATTTGTCTATTTGTAACTGATATTTTATAGAAAATGGATTCTGAGATGATGAATGGACAAATGTGTGATTTATGGCAGATGAGACAAACAATAGGAAATAAAGAGAATATTTACTCAATGTGGATTAATTCTCAGAATGAATACCCAGTGAGATATGAGATGTATGGCTATGATTCTCTACTAGGATCTCATTTTGATCGTTACTATTTAGATTATATGGTATTTAAACCTAATACTAGTTTACCTGCTTCTGCCTTTGATCCTCCAGCTAGTGAGTTGTTTTCTTATAACATTTATTAATGAAATAGGTTCGAGGAAACACCTGAATTAGTATCAAATGATATCTTTCTTTAAGATATCTATGACACTTATTAGAATGAAAATTTGATTACATTTTTTGCAATTAAATCAATATGATTTGTATTGGAGGTTATTTTGGCATCCATTTTGATTGTCTAAAGGACTAAGGATAAAATTGATCTAAATCTTTAAAAAAAAAATACGTTAAATTTGATCGCTTTTTTCACCATTAATGAAACTTATTACAATGTCTGATCCAAAACATTCTATATTGGCTGAATGTTATAAAACAAGCTGGAAAATCGTTCGATTATGGGCAGACAGAGAGCAAACGGAACCTGTTCAGAACTCTCCAATCGAGCGCCATCTATGATGTGTGATTTCTGCATTTACACAGTTATCAATCCCTACCTCAAATAATAATATTGTCTTACAGATCTAACATGTGGTGGTTTCCCTGGACCAGGTGTTGAAAGAAGAGTTAGAATGAATCCAATGAGAGAATTTGTTCATCATGATGACAGTCATGTAGAAGAAATGTTCCAGTCTTTTAAGAAAACACATCAGAAACTTTATAAAGATGATAAAGAACATCAAGAAAGACAACACATTTTCAGACATAATCTCAGGTAATTTCAAATAAACTTCTTATTTTTTGGATCTAAAGTTTAGGCATGTTCAGACCTTTTAGTGCAGGGTCCCATCCCTAATATCAATGAAGGGGTTTGCTACCAAAACTTTATGTATTCATCCAGTGTGCTTCCCTAGCATGATAGAATTCTGTTGGTGCATCTCCTAGCAAGTCAATTTTTATGTTAACAGAGGTGCGGGCAAGATCGTGTAAACTCTGTAAGCATGAATTTCAAATTGATATGTGCCCAGGTATAAATTTACAATCAATTTTTATACCCACAATGGTACAAAAACAGATATATCAAAAAAATAAGATACATGTATAATTATTGTGATACTGGAAAACCAATTTTTTCGTGAATTTTCAGATATATCAATTCTAAAAATCGAGCTGGTCTGTCATTTAATCTAGCTGTCAATCATTTAGCTGATAGAAGTAATTATGAATTAAAAGCTATGAATGGATATAGATATAGTAAAGGTAGCCATGGTGGTTTAGCATTTGATACAACTAACATGGAGACTGACATCCCTGAAAACTTAGATTGGAGATTGATGGGTGAGTGATTTCTAGCTTTTTTATTTGCACAGGACCATTTTATAGCATCTGTTGGCATCATTCCTTTTTTCTGTCAGATGTCCTTTAATTATAGAAAAGCTTAATAGAACTCGAAGCACTTTTTCAAAATTTTAGTAGAATTGCAATTCGATTTATGTGAAAGCTGCTGTATGATTAACAGTGAAATGTAGTGGAGCTTTATGTCCTTCTTTGCTCTTGATTTGGTTGAAGATGATGGACAATGCTATAAAGGTATAGTTCCCTTGGTACTAGTACCACCATGGGTTACCAGCAAACGTAATTCAGTGTACCTGATAGGCCGCTTGGGCAATTTTGAACATCAGTAGTGAATTCAGACCTCTGTGGACTGTGTGGCAAGTTTTTCAAAGTGAGTAGGATAGTTGCACACTGCATGGCATGTCATTATTAACTTAATCAGGAGCACTGATTCGTTCCATGTCATTCCCCTGGATGCTTGTAGGTGCCGTCACTCCTGTTAAAGATCAAGGTGTTTGTGGATCATGTTGGAGTTTTGGTACCACTGGTACTATAGAGAGTTCACTAGCTATAAAATCTGGTAAAGCCACCCGACTGTCTCAACAACAACTGGTTGATTGTTCCTGGGGAGAGGGTAACAATGGATGTGATGGAGGGGAAGATTTCAGATCCTATGATTACATCATGAAACATGGTGGACTTACTACAGAAGAACAGTATGGCCAGTATTTAGCTGCTGTAAGTACATCATGTATTTAGTCTGTTAAATAATACCTGGTCTCATTGTTTTGTTAGTAGTCTCCTTCAATATTAATGGTCTCCTTTTATGTTAGTTATCTCATTCTTTGTTAATGGTCTCCTTTTTTGTTAGTAATCTCCTTCTGTGTTGATGGTATCATTGTTTTGTTAGTAATCTCCTCCTGTTTTGTTAGGAGTCACCTATGTTAATGGTCTCATTGTTTTTTTAACAGTCTCCTATGTTAATGGTCTCCTTTTTTGTTATTAGTCTCCTTCTATGTTTATGGTCTCCTTTTTTGTTAGTAGTTTCCTTCTATGTTAATGTTCTCCTTTTTTGTTAATAGTCACCAGTTATGTTACCCATGACCCCCTTTTATGTTACTGACCTCCTTTTATGTTATTGATCTCCTATTTCTTTAATCTTCTATAATGTTACTGGATATTGTATTTTCCAGGATGGTTATTGTCATGATGATAAAGTAAAGCCTGTTGTTACTGTTACTGGTTATGTTAATGTAACAACATTGAATGCTACAGCCATGAAGATTGCTCTATTTAACAACGGTCCAGTCTCTATTGCTATTGATGCAGCTTTAAAATCATTGTCCTTTTACTCCAGTGGTGTTTTCTATGATCCTAAATGTGGTAAGTATAAAATGCTAATGCTGTGTTTGTTTCTTCTTGCTTGAATGGGAAATAGGAAGTGTCCAAAAGGGAAAAAGTGTATCTTAAGCAACCCAAGTTTCGGACTGATGTAGCAACATGGCAGTCAACCAAACCTGAATCACATATACATGAACTTTACAGGGCACTGATATGATTATCAGCATTCACAGAAGTTATGTATGAATTTAGGGTATTTTCGCGTTTCGCAAATGTGAAGGGTTTATGTACAACCAATTCATAACATCTGTAAAAATCCACGAAAGATGGATAATTTTGCAGTATAATTGTGTAACCAATTGCCTTGTGTCACATTTGTGGCTCAAGCGATCTTTTAGAATAGAATAAGTTTTCATTCTCAACCATTTCAAAGCATGGCCATCCGTAATTAAATTTGTTATTGTTTGGTTATTGTTTGATTCTGTCATATTACATATTTAATTTCCCTGTTTATTCAGATTTTTTCGTTTATTTAAACTGTCTGTCCAGGTGGAACACATTTTTTATCAAAGGTTGACTACTCTGTTTTGTTTTACAGGAAGCAAACCAGAAGATTTAGATCATGCTGTTTTAGCTGTAGGATATGGTGTTTATCCTAAAACAGGTGAAGCTTATTGGTTGGTCAAAAATTCCTGGTCTACATATTGGGGTAATGATGGTTACGTCTTGATGAGCCAAAAAGATAACATTTGTGGTGTGCTTACTTCTCCAACCTATGCTAATATCAAAGTGCTTTAATATGTGATGTATTTTGTACTGTCTGTTTTTTGGTTTTTTTTTTGGTCCACCCAATTACTCAAAGTCAAAGTATATATTTTTTTAAAATAACTTATATGAAAACTGTTCATTTTATGTGTTCAAAATATTTCTTAGTTATGGCTTTATGTTTGAAATTTTTTGCGATTTCTTAGATTGAAAAGACATGTTTTGTACTTAACTGGATCCAGAATTACAGCTTTTATTTGAGTTGAATATCATTTTTTTTCTGTTCATTATTTAGTCATATTTTGCTTAATAGTATTATAGTTTGTTATAAGTATATCATGTATATTAGAAACACAAAAAATAAATGTGCTATAATTTTATAACATTGGCTACTGTGATATAGTTAATTTTTCTTGGCAAATCTACAAATTTTGTGCTTACAAAAATATATAACTGTATGTTTGCAACAACATAATTATTTTTGGTCAAACTGATTTTGGCTATGTTTGGAAATGATTGATTTTGTATGACTATTTTTTCTGTTTATTATATTTTGTCTGGTTATTGCTCAGGAAGCTATATTCCTTGTACATATCTCCTATTGTATTATACACTTTATTATTCTGTCTCACTTCATAATACACTAGCATCTATTTATTAAACTCTGTAACACTTTTCAAAATGAAAATTGAGCATTAAGTTTATATTCAATTAAAATAAAGGAGGTGCACAGTCTAAATTGCTATGTAGTTTCACTTATATCTTGCTTGATTATGACTTTGGAATATATAAGATAGAGACACTCTTTGTTTTGTATATTTTGTAAGATGAATGTATATAAAAAACCATATTCCATAGTAGGTCTATATTTACATCAACTGTTATTCAGAATTAAAGGAGATTAGATATCTATTGAATAAAATTTAACAAATAAATAATTGTATTATCTGATGCATGAAGACAGTCTAATGAATCCGGCTACAGCTGGAAATCCCAAACACTTAAACCTAAACTGGCAAGCGTTCTTAAGGTAAAAGGAGATCAAATTTTCACGCATATCGTTTTAATATACTATTATTATGCATCTGAATGAACGGATCAGATCGAACTTTTAGACCCTGACTCGTAGAATAAAATGCCTTGTTGTTCATAAATTTGTGGTACCAAACACAATGGATTTTGTTCCTGGGTTCTCCAAGATGTTTAGCCTGCATCACCCGGCAAGCTGATGTGATGTCTCTGAATATGATGATGGCACTATTTGGTGATTGTTTATACACAGTATAGACATCACCATAACATGATAGTAACCCTAATAGATCCTCTTTATCATAGCTGGGTATAGTTCTGCCTAGTTTCCATCTTATTATTAAGGTACTCAATGGCATCTGAGCTGTCTCGTTAATCAGGAAGTTGGATAAGACTTCATTCATAAACCTTAAAATATATACAGTAAAGATATAGCTTCAACCCGAAGAATATCCACCTAATTTACCTTGTACGCCCTATGTATAGACAGATGTTACCATGTAAAGTTCTATCTAATTTATCATTTATAAAACAATATAAGGTAAAGCTTTATCTAATTTATCTTGTATAAAACGATAGAAGGTAAAGCTTTATCTAATTTATCTTTTATAAAACAATAGAAGGTAAAGTTCTATCTAATTTATCTTGTATAAAACAATAGAAGGTAAAGCTTTATATAATTTATCTTGTATAAAACAACAGAAGGTAAAGCTTTATCTAATTTATCTTGTATAAAACAATAGAAGGTAAAGTTCTATCTAATTTATCTTGTATAAAACAATAGAAGGTAAAGCTTTATCTAATTTATCTTGTATAAAACAATAGAAGGTAAAGTTCTATCTAATTTATCTTGTATAAAACAATAGAAGGTAAAGCTTTATCTAATTCATCTTGTATAAAACAATAGAAGGTAATGTTTTATCTAATTTATCTTGTATAAAACAATAGAAGGTAAAGCTTTATCTAATTTATCTTGTATAAAACAACAGAAGGTAAAGCTTTATCTAATTTATCTTGTATAAAACAATAGAAGGTAAAGCTTTATATAATTCATCTTGTATAAAACAACAGAAGGTAAAGCTTTATCTAATTTATCTTGTATAAAACAACAGAAGGTAAAGCTTTATCTAATTCATCTTGTATAAAACAATATAAGGTAAAGCTTTATATAATTTATCTTGTATAAAACAACAGAAGGTAAAGCTTTATCTAATTTATCTTGTATAAAACAATAGAAGGTAAAGCTTTATCTAATTTATCTTGTATAAAACAATAGAAGGTAAAGCTTTATCTAATTTATCTTGTATAAAACAACAGAAGGTAAAGTTGTACCTAATTTATCTTGTATAAAACAACAGAATGAAAAGTTGTACCTAATTTATCTTGTATAAAACGATAGAAGGAAAAGTTGTACCTAATTTATCTTGTATAAAACAACAGAAGGTAAAGTTGTACCTAATTTATCTTGTATAAAACAACAGAAGGAAAAGTTGTACCTAATTTATCTTGTATAAACGTTCAAAGATAAAGTTTTCTATGATTTATCATTTACAAAACGATAGAAGGTAAAGTTATCTCTTATTTATCATGTATAAAAAGACAGAAGGTAAAGCCCTACCTAATTCATCTTATATAAAACGATAGAAAGTAAATCTCTATCAGCTTGTATATTCCAATATTGTAATGGCCCCATCTTACCTGTCTTGTGTAAAACGGGATGGTAAAGTTCTGCCAGTATTTTTCGCTGGTGATTCGTTATGGACTTGTCTCAAAACGTCTAGCGAATTCTTATCACATCTGCATCGAAGGGGATCGGAGTTTGAAGTTTTGCACGTTCCTGGAACTGTAAGAGAAATGGATTCAAATGAAGTTATGTATTCATCTGGTTAAGAAAGTTACAAAAATTGAGGAAACATAATGAATCATAGTTACAGATATTTGGCCTTTAGCGATTTCGGACATGAGGTGTATATGCAATTAGTATGCCCATACTATATATATCCTCTACACTTTTGGTAAAATAATGACATATAACACCATGCAGTGTTTAATAATGGAAATTTTGACAAACGATAACTTATGTGTCTGACAGCGATATCGCATTTATCAACGTAGGTCATTTACGTAGAAGGAATTACTTACAACTTACCATTTAATTCAAAAGGGGTTAGTTTATTTTTCTGTTTCTGTGGGATTTCGGCTTTCTTTTCAAGGTGACACAAACGGCAAAATATTGAATGTACACCTTTGTCCTAGAAAATGTATACCATACGATCAATTAGAACCAAAAACCATTTGAGCTTTAGGCGTACAGAGATGCTCCACTGGCGGTCGTGGTAGTGCAGTTGCTTTGCTCATCGTCCCGAATCATCAGAGGCCATTCTGCTACTTTATCCGTGAACCATTTTCGAGGAGTGAACACTTATATAATCGATAATGACTATTTTGTAGTTTACATTTCGTAGTTAGTCCGCCACACATCAAAATATTATTTTTAAAACTTACCCTCTGCATATTTCTAGTGCGTACTTTAGACATTCTGTACACCTGACATGGTGTTCTCTGGACATCAATGCGAAAAGGGTATTCTTTTGCTACTTTTGTGCCCAGAACCATACTGGCCATTTTGTTGGAAGAACTCGTATGACGTTCTGTCATTATGACGTTTGGTCATGAACAAAGGCCTTTAGCTCCCAAAAAGAATTTTGTCTTCTGAACCAAATCCAAAGTGACAAAACCCTTTTCATTGCTATTCCCGATAAGGTATAGTGTAGATCAATGCATTGCGTACAGCAATAATATATAGTGTTGAGTAATAAGGTATAGTGTAGAGCAATAATGCATATTGTAGAGCAATAAGGTTCTGTGTAGAGTAATAAGGTATAGTGTAGAGCAATAAGGTATAACGGATATCAATAATGCATTGCGTACAGCAATAATGTATAGTGTTGAGTAATAAGGTATAGTGTAGAGCAATAATGCATATTGTAGAGCAATAAGGTTCTGTGTGGAGTAATAAGGTATAGTGTAGAGCAATAAGGTATAATGGATATCAATAGTGCATTGCGTAGAGCAATAATGTATAGTGTAGAGCAATAATGTATAGTGTAGAGCAATAAGGTATTGTGTAGAGTAATAAGGTATTGTGTAGAGTAATAAGGTATTGGGTAGAGCAACAAGGTATTATGTATAGTAATAAGGTATAGAGCGCTGGTTCCTACTCTGGTGTCGAGCTGTGATCGACTGTTGAAGTAAAGGAAAGCACTATGAACTTATCTAGAGCACAATATAAAAGAAATAAGGTTTTGTCTACAGCACTATGAACTTATATAGAGCACAATATGCTAGAAATATGGTTTTGTCTACAGCACTATGAACTTATAGAGAGCACAATATGCTAGAAATAAGGTTTTGTCTAGAGCACTATGAACTTATCTAGAGAATACTAGATATATGGTCTTGTCCAGAGCACTAAGAACATATCCAGAGCACAATATAAAAGAAATAAGGTTTTGTCTAGAGCACTATGAACTTATATAGAGCACAATATGCTATAAATAAGGTCTTGTCTAGAGCACTATGAACTTATCTAGAGAATATTAGATATAAGGTCTTGCCTAGAGCACTATGAACTTATCCAGAGCACAATATAAAAGAAATAAGATTATGTCTAGAGCACTATGAACATATCTAGAGCGCAATATACTAGATATAAGGTCTTGTCTTGAGCACTATGAACTTATCTAGAGCACAATGTACTAAAAAAAAGGTTTTGTCTACAGCACTATGAACTTATATAGAGCACAATATGCTAGAAATATGGTTTTGTCTAGAGCACTATGAACTTATATAGAGCACAATATGCTAGAAATAAGGTTTTGTCTAGAGCACTATGAACTTATCTAGAGAATACTAGATATATGGTCTTGTCTAGAGCACAATGAAGTTATCTAGAGCACAATGTACTAGATATAAGGTCTTGTCTAGAGCACTATGAACTTATCTAAAGCACAATATACTAGGTTTTGTGTTGTACACTAGGGAACAGTTTATCAAGATCAATAAATTCAAAATCACATATTCCAAAAGTTTATTAAAAGCTAAATAAATATATTATCACAGATATTAATAGTATAATGCTGATCATTAATATTTACCATCAGGACTGTTAAGTAAATGTTTGCCAGTCATATCTGACTGAATCTTCCAAGTGTTAGATTTGATTATAATCTTTCAGATTTCTTCAAAGAAATTTTACTGAATTCAACATATAGGCATTTACAATCTGTATCATTCATGGCAGAACCACCAAAATAGTGGGGAGTCTCATGCTTATTTGACAAAAAAAATCACTCTAAGCCTTCCAGGCTTCACCATGCCTGATTTGGTTTATACATAAAAAATATTCTTTGTTAGGGTACAAATGAGACAATTTTGTATTCCTATATATATACATACTGCCAAATATTTTGTAGGATGTCAATTTCAGAAAATGTACAAAACCAGAAACAAGTTATATAGCACATTAAATAACCACTTCAGCGACTGAATGAGAAAGAGTACAGAACAATATTTTGACTTTGAAGAGACAACAAATCCATTTCTATAATATATTCTCCAAATGAAAATAACAATAAAAACATTTGTAAACTAATTGGCTAAGACAGAAGTTGATTTAGAAGCATGACTGCTAATCAGAGATCCAGGAGTAGTAGAAGGTGATCTAACGACATCTTTCTTATTCAATACTTCCCATGCCATTTGTTTAGCTACACTACCGTCCATTTGAGTCTGAAGGAATGTGGTGATACTTCTCAAAGCTTGATCCATTTCGTCCTGTAATTCTTGTACTCTGGCACCATTCCTGCTAGCTTCTATTTCCATTCGAGCTAATTCAGAATCATTATATTTTCCACTTAGTTTATACATTTCTGTTAAAGCTCCATGCATCTTCTTCTGAAGTGATTGTAACTGAAAAGACAATTGAACAGATGTACTGTGGTTGTCAAAATATTTAGCTCAGCCAATCAGTAATGGTGTTCACAGCTCACCGTTAAAATTTGAGCCTTCAAATCCATGTGTGTCCAGAATTATCTACGTTTGAAAGTTGAAATGACGACTCGTCAATTTAAGATACTCTGTGATATATAGAAAAGACATCATGTAGAAATAGTGAGTAAAATTCCTAGTTTGAGGTATCTTTAAAGGTATTATGTGATTTTCGTCCATTTCTAGTACTACTGATGACTATTGCATATATTCATGACTCAAATCAACCCCAAAATGGCACACCTATCCCTTAAAATTATCTCGCAAAAAAATTCATGAATTTTAGAATCTGTTCTATTGACATTGGCTTGATTGCCAGAAAAATGGTATACCTGAACAAATTGAAAATATATCATAACTTCTCTCCACTTACCCTCTTCAAATCTGTTAAAGAATTCTCTAATTTCACTCTTCTTTCATAATTATTTAACAGAGTTTCTTTAGTTATAACATATTCATTCTGTAACTGTCTGTATCTAGCTGCTAAAGATCTATTATTAGACAATTCTCTGTCCTTCTCATTCTAAAAATAGAAATCATGATCATCAGTGATCATTTTTTTAAACCTGCAGATAATTCCATCGGATTTTAAGCTAGCCTTAGAAATCTGGTTCTACCTTTTCCTTGACGTGATATACAGAATGATGATATTGGCACATTTTGGCATAACCGGTATTATACAAAACTGAACCATAAATGAGTCCATCAAGACATTACCAGATATTCTACAATGTCCCTGAGCCCCACACAGTACCACGAAACAGTCGAGGACAGGCTTGACTTACTGAGAGAATTATTTTTCCTTGACTATATATATAATTTTAACTATTTCAGCTATAAACTTCCTTGTAATAAAAAAAATGAGTAGCATTCCCAAGAAATTCAAATAAATAAAACTGTTGCAAACTTACCAGAGTTTTATGTAATGTCTTCTGCCTTTCCAACATTAGTTTATTATGTCTGGTTTCAACTAAGTAATAACGATCTGTAGAGGGAAAACATTATTTATATTACTAGGGTCTAGGGGTCTGCAGCGATAGTACTAAGTTTCTCCCTGATCTGTAGAGGGAAAACATTATTTATATTACTAAGGTCTAGGGGTCTGCGGCAATAGTACTAAGTTTCTCCCTTGCATCTTCACAATGTCAAGCTATTACGAGCTTTGTCTTATACCTTGACTGCAATAGCCACCCTTTGTTAGTCACAGAAGTTTGAAATTCAGGGATTTGATTGGATTGTACGCTAGCGAATACAGCCAACCAGCCGGTGACAGAAAGTCTGTAAACAATAAACCATAAAATTAACAGTCTTTCTGTCGTTGGCTCTGATAGGCTGTACTTGTTGGAATACAATCCAATCAAATTGTTGCATTGTGAAATAAGAAAGGTAGTTATTTCTAAACAAAGTTTATATGAAGAAGTTCATATTCTGACATTGTGAAGATGAGGCCATTCTTTCATATGACATCACCGTCTTTTCAATGGATGATGTAATTTGTGTTATGAACCTATCTTTCAGTGTCTCAAAAAACAGGAGTGAATAAGGAGTATGGTTCACTAACCTTGAATTTCAGTGAAAGCCTTGCTTAAATCAGCCTCTATTTTCTTACTAGTATTTAGCTGAATGTTAAATTCTATCAAGTCTTCACTGAAAAAAAGCAAGAGGAAATATGACTTGTTAATTGTCGTCAAACAAACGACACACCAACCAAGATTAGAACAACCACCAATTGAGCATGATAATCAAGCAAATGGTGTCCTATAAAGATTCCAACATCCTAACCAACTATGCTACAGTCCTCCAACTCTATGGATATCTGAATCTACATACCTCTGATGTTTGATAGCTTTCTCTGTTGAGTTAACAACTCTCTTCATGATCCCTTCTGAGGCATCCATATCTTCAATATTTTTAGTCATCATTTCCTTTCTCCAATTAATATGATCTATCTTTTTATTAACTTCTGCTACTTTTGTCTAAATATGATACAACAAAACATGAACTTCCGAACAAAATTTACAGTGCGGTCCAGTCCAATGCTGTAGATCAACAGATGGGCCTTAGTACACATGTCAAGACCAAAAACTTAAGATTATGGTTTGAATTGTAGACTCCAAAGTAAACACACTGTAATTTCAACAGTATCCTACTTCCTAAAATTAACTGCATCAAAAAGATGGAAATCCTGGGAAATCCAAATCTATTTCCATTCTATGCAGGCACAGCAAATAATCTGGCGATTACATCATTTTTATAATGTTATCTTATGATTATGTGCAGTGACAAAACAAATAACAATTGATCGCTAGAAACGTGTTTTTTTACAGAAATACCTGAATATGTCCAGAAATCAACATGAATGAGAGTCATTAGACAGAAATTAAAACCAGCTAAAAATTCAAATGCAAATAAGAATTACAAACCTTTAATTCTGCATGTTTTGGTTCTATCTGACTTAATTTCTCTAAGAATCGATCACGACTTTCAGTATGTTGTTTCTGAGTTTCTGATATATTATCTGTTAGAGTTACTTTCAACTGAAATACAAATCATGATATATAGTGACATTAGTTCAA